GATTGTTATCGGCATCTTGGCCACTAGAGAACAAATCCCTAGTTGTATAGTCCCTATATTCATATGACATAAAAGGTCCATATTGGCTTCTACAACATAATACTCTCACTTTTAAAGACACTGTTCTAAATCAGAAGCATATATACCCTGACTTCACATTTTGGTTCTAGAGAACCAAATAGAAAGATCTACAGGATTTTCTTCCAGTTATTATACAGAAAGGGACAACATTCGTAAATCAGCACAATGTTTTTCTTATCTTCATTTGAACAATCCTTTACTATGAAAATATTTTCCACATGATTGCATATTTTGGAACAATCCAGTTTGGGTATGTTTATTTGATTACTGGGTATTGCATGGATATGACCTCTAGTGTCATGATGCAAACATTACATAGCACTACAATTCCACTTGACGTGTACCTATTTAAAAAAGAAATGATCAAATTCACGGTATACAGAAAGAAGCATGGCAACAACATATACTATGTGGATTCATCTCAAAGTACCTAAAATGTATACAGAACATGTGAGTAGCTTTTCCTTTCTATTTAGTTTCTGGGTTCAGTAATCAGCCTCAACATTTAAAAGCTACTGTAAACATAGCATTGAAAAGAATGATTCCTGCCCTAGAAAGTCCCAACTTCAAAAAATTATCCTGATCTTGTACATAATGTTTAGAAAAACATCATCAATCTCAGTTCTCCATTGCAATTAAAAAAAAAAATTACTATGAAGAATTCAGTCCTGCCTTTCCAGTTAATCTATCATTATATATCATTCAGGATTATATACAAAAATAAAAATACATATACATTAAATACAGTTAGTACCGTGAATGTAATTCTGTATATTCCTACATTTGACTTTTGTCCAATAGAAGCCTATTTTTTCATATAAAATGGTGTATGAAATGTTGTTCATAATTTGGACATAAGCTATAAATATGTGTGGTACCTGTAATGTGGGATTCTTTGGGGTTCTATCTATAAATATTTCTTTTGGAGTGGTACTACATGTTTTCTAACAGGAACAGGTTAAAAAGTTAAATGGCACATCCTAACCTTGAGGGTCAAGCATTTCCAAAGAAGTGCCAGAGTCACCTTTTGGTCTCTTAAATAACTGAGGATTTAAGAGTGGGTACTTAGAGCAACCTCTACCATGATTGTACAGGTTGGGTATAGAGTCTACATGAAGAAGAAAGCAACAAGGGCCCAAGGAGCAAAAAGCTTCATAAGTGATTACCAGCATCTTGAATTGGGCCCTACTGGCAACGAGTGCAGCTCCCACAGAATAGACTTCATTTTGCTAATGCCAGTCAGCAAGCAGGCCATTGCATTCTGTGGTGGCTATAGCTTCTGACTTGTCTTCAAGGCAGCTTCACATAAATCATACTGCAGTCGTCTAACTGAGAGATGACAAAGGCATGAATTACTATCTTCAATGCCTCCTGGTTCAGCAATGGGTTCCACTGACAGACCTGCTAAAGCTGGACAAAATCTCTCCTGGCCATGACTTGCACATGCTGTTCCAGCAGGAGCCATGACTCTAGGAGAACCCACAGACTGGCACCATCTCTTTCAGGGGAAATGCTACCCCACCAGTTATAAATGGAACATCCCTGGCACCAGAACATTTTTTAATCAACAGCAGGTCCATCTGGTTGGAATTCAGTTACAGTCTTTTTTCCCGCATCCAGTCCCTCACAACCTTCAGGAATACACATACAGCCATGAGTATAAAGTTGTACGAGAAACTCTCATGCAAAGGTGCATGTTCAACACACAAATGTCTGCAAAAATATTTTATTTTGGTGTTGTCTGCAGGAAGTAGAGGTAATCCAGAGTGTTTGTGTTCTGGATTTTGGATCAAGCATTTATCATTATTAGGAATAGCCTGCTATGGGATTGTATATTAACAATAATTTTCTATTAGCATTATGACAGTGTTGTCCAAACTTGGCCACTTTAAGATTCCCCATGCTGGCTGGGGAATTCTGG